ATCAAGCGCCTTTTTCATTACAACAGTTACCGCTCTCATTGCGATTTCAGTCCTTAAATCGTCGTAGTCTTCCTCTGCCTCCTATCTTCTCCGTCTTTCTCGCTCGGACATTCTCCGCAGAGCAGTTTCTTTGGCCGGCGATAAAACGGGACGCAATAAAGGAGGAAGCGTTATTAGGAACTACGTCCTTTTGCTCGACGAACCCTAAACCCGAGAGAGTCTCGACCGACAACCATCGACGACAAGGGGTTGAACTGGTGAACCTCCGGAGACAAATCCGACGATGAAACTCAAGTTCCGAGCTCTCGTCTTTCTTTTGTTCCTCTCTCCTTCTTTCCACCCATTCATCTATCTATCTCTATCTCGTTTGCGCGCGGTTCATAAATAAATTAATTAAGCGCGGCAACTGATAATGTTAAAATAATACCGCTCGCGGAACACAATGGAGTAATAGCAGGCGGAGAACGGACTACGAGAAATACGTGTGCGTTTATATGTATATGTACATAAAATATATACATATCTATATCCAGTCTCTCGCGCGCAATTCTTAAACTCTCACTCCTCCCGGAGTTAATTTCGCGGCATTAACAGTCGAAAGAGTGCGAACAAAAGGGCTCCGAGGGTAGAGAAGACAGATAAGGGATGGAAGGAGGCAAACGCAGGAAATATGAACACACTCATAATGCAGGCGCCGTCGTCGACGTCGTCGTCGTCGTCGTCGTCGTCGTCGCGACGACCGCGAGAGCAGTGACTCTCTCCCTCGTATCTGAAACTTGGAGTCGCATAAATATTTTTTTCGACGTTTTCCTGGGCTCTCTCTTTTTCGCTTGATTTCTCGACCCTGCGAAGAGCAACGACGTCGGTGATAAAGGGTTAACGATGCTTCTTAACCGATACGAGAGTTCGAAAGGTATACGTGGAGGCTCTGGTTTTAATCCCTTCAAGGTATTTCGATATCAGGAGGAATCTGTTCTATTATTCCAAGAGATGGAAATTTAAATATCATTTTTGTTTGCAACGATATCTCGTGTAATTCCTCATTTCGTGACTACTGATTTATATTTGTTCAAAGTGCTATAATTACGACATTCGCGATATATAAAATAGAAAATATTATGTATAATATATAGATATAGATATTACATTTTTTTAAATAACAATTTCCAATTGATTACTTATAATACAAAAAACGCATATATAGTGTTATTTTAGAGTTGACAAATTAAATAAATGAATTTGAACGAAATAAGCAGCGAACAAGAGGAGCATAAAATTGTAGGTTTTAATTGCAATTACGCGAAGATCGCGCGGATGAGAACCACATTCGGAAAAAAAAGTCAGCGCTACTTTATGTACATGGAGCAAACAAGCCCGAGAGTTCGGTAATAAACCTATCAAAGACGTACGGCAAGATTACACGATGCAGGGGCGGGCAATATATCTACGCTCTTTGCGGGAAGTTGAAAGATTGGAAAAATATCCGGATCGCCATTTGCATTTCGCGAACCCGACTCAAACGAGCAATCAACTTTCTCAGTACTTTATTAATTACGCGAGATAAATATTTACTCGACGAAACATGTCGCATGTTTTCTTCGCAATTGATCTATGACATGTGTGTGCGTGAAGAAATTTTTGAATCGCGATAAAGTTTATAAAATGTTATAAAATATAATAAAATGTTTATATTTATCTCTTTGACATTTATAGCAAACTTTTCTGTCTTATGTCAAAATCATGACAAAATATTATTTTTTTACATTACTTTAGAATTTTTCATATTTTTAGAAATTTGTAATAAAAGAAAGGGAAGAAATCGTACTATATAATAAGACTTAATTTCTCTTTGGATTTTTTTTTCGGATGAATACGGGAGCACTTTGCAAAATAGTCACGTGGCGCGAAGTGCTGCACCGCGAAGTGCGACAATTTCGATAAATCGTCTTGAGAACCCGGCGAGCCCGGTTAAAAGCCCGATCGAGAGGGTAGAGAAAGGTCGTTGCGTGAGGCGACAGGGATGGAAAGAAAGGGGGTAGCTTTTGAAGGAAGGAGGGAGACTCGTGCGTTTTCGATGTACAAAAAGTAATTACGGGATGGTTTCCGGTAATCATATCTAGAGCGCATTGAATGAGCGCATTGTTCGGGCACCCCTTCACCGATATGCACTTGTACGCAGCGCTCCTGCTCGTCCTCGCCCTCGACTCATCACCGGGACTTCCACCCTATCGACGTATACTCACGACGACCACATATATATATACGTACCCCTTCCTGTAACTATTACGCACGCTCGCTCACCCCCAGGCGGCAGTTGCGGGGGCTGCGGTTTACACCGCAGGTCGTTCTTGGATTCACCACGGGACGTCACTGACGGTGGTTAATGCCTCGGGCGATTTCAAATTTTTCAATGCTCCCCGTGCCGGTTGTTACCGGATCTCAGGTTTTTTTCAAAACGGCGCGAACAGAAAATTATTAAAAAAGATATGAGAACATTTTTATGTTGTAAAATATAATAAAATGTTTATTTATCTCTTTGACGTTTATAGCAAACTTTTCTGTCTTATGTCAAAATCATGACAAAATATTATTTTTTTACATTACTTTTAGAATTTTTCATATTTTTACATATGATATATAAAGAAATTTTTAAACTTATCAATTTTGACTTGCAATCTGTACAAGTTATTAAATTATGTTAAAAATCTTATATATGTGCTGTAATAGTAAGTATTGATCGAAGACTCGAAATAAAACGAAGTGGCATGTAAGAATGATTTTAGTAAATTATTCTGAACGATGCGTACAAAGATGTCACTTATATTATAAATGAGCGTAGTTCAATTTATTGTAAATTTTTGACAAAATGACAGAAATAAAACTTCTCTAATATATAATAAACAAATATTAAGGGAATATAAAATCGGGCTAATTAAGAACAAAGTGGAAAGATTTTGCATATCTTTTTATATTTTAATTTTCTAGTACCACAAATATAAAAATAAATCCAAAGCGACATTGCATCGACGAAATAAAATCGCGAAACGTCGAGGCGATGACGTTTGTCAGGTGGAACGTCGACGCGCGAAATTCGACGCGACTGCAGCCTAAATTCGACCCTCAACAACGTCCACGATGTTCAGAGGTCGCATTTATCGAGTTCGGTTCAAGAGCGCGCAAATGCCAGCGACTCGCTTCTCGTAGTCTCTCTCTCTCTCTCGTATTCTCGTCTTTCGTTTTTCCGCACGTCTGCCCAGTCGACTATTTATTCTCCGCTATTTGCGTGCACGCAACTTGAAGAAAAGAATCGCGCTTTCCGACGGTGGATCGAAAGGTCGAATTCTTCGCGCTCGAATCATCGCACCGAAGATGCCTTCTTTCGATTTCGTTCCTTGACGAGAAGATCGTCTTACGCGCCCGCTTTGGTTCGATTGCGACGTAGAAAAGCGGCAGAGAACGAACGACTGCGCGATAAGAATGTTGACGACGAAGTTTATTGGCAACGGAATGTGGGATAAGATGATTGATGGATGTAATGAAAAATTTCTTCTTTTTTTTAACTTCAATGTGTTTTTTACATCCGTTTAAGATAAAATAAATTTATGTTTGAATGGGGGGAAAATGAGCGGAGAGAAAACGTAGTTGAGACTTAATTTATTCAGTATTGATGATTAATTTTTTTTTAATTATCTAAAAAGATTTAATATAGCATAAGAAAATTGCATAAAAGATTAGTCGACCTAGAAACGAGGGAAAGAGAAAATAATTGCGAATTTGACAATGAACCAAACTACGCGAAATATGTCAATTTAAATTGATATCGTCTACGAGACGTGAAAAACCGAGGAAAAGTTGAAGAGGAAGATTGGACGGTGCGAATATCGGCTCGGAGAAACTATGTACGACGACGCATTGCAGGAGGAAGACGATGGAACGAGATAGAGCGTGGAAGTGCGAGCAAGATCCGAGAAGAGAGCAAAGAGCATGACAAGAGCGAGGCTGTAGGGGCGCAGGGCTGCGACCCGACTGACCCTACCTCGATGCCCCGGCCGCCTTCGGAGCCCTCTCTAGCCCTACTCTGCACCCTTACCCTCACCCCTAGCCCCCGGGGTGGATGGAAGGCGGGCCGGCCCATTTTTCGCGCCCCACTTGACTCCACGTCCTCATTGGCTACCGCCCTCTTGCTCTGACCTCTCTTCCCTTGGCTGCCTCTGACACCGACGGGGTGGACGGCCGCGTTCCTTCCACCTTTTTCCAGAGAAGAAAAGTAAAAGAGACGGCCGAAGATCCGGATGAAATGTTAATCGCTTCTCTGATAGATAGTTGCTCGTCTCTACCAGCCGGCTAATTCAACGGACTTTTACGATAATGTGTGTGATGAAATTATTATTTTTTTTTTTTGTAAAATAAAAAATGATATAAGATCGTAAAATGGAAAAGTGGAACAGTTTAATTAAGATTGTTATTCGCAACGGCAGCGACATTTATCGGAGCAACGATCGAAGGAAATGAATCGCAGATGGATAAGCGAAAAACGATAGGAATCGCGAGATTTAAAACGAGTCCAAGGTTGAATCTAGTGAATATGACCTCTTCCCGAGAGAAGACAGAAGTTGGTCGACAGGTGCTTAGAAACAACGATGTAGATTCGTGGTAGCAGTCGCGGTCGGTTTGATAAAAAGCGTAGTAATATGATCAGCAGGTTGAAGAATCTGGAGAGCTCGGTCCACGAGAGGAGATCACGAGGAAGAGAGTGGTGGGATACGAGGGTGAAGGAGAGGACGAGGGAATGCGATAAGGAGAACTGCGGACCGCTTGTTCGTCGAGTTCGCATACAAGAAGAAAAAAGGAGAGAGAGAGAAACAGAGTGAAACGGGGTGAGGAAAGAAGGACGAAAGAGGGAGAGTAGAGGACGAATAGACTGACGGCAGACGGATAGATAGATGGAGAGCGATGCGAGGCGACGGTGCGGCGAGCGAGACGACCTCAAAGGAAAGGAGGGAGACTCATCGCGAGCGAGAGAAGAAGGGAGAAAACGGCGACTAGATCGAGGAGTCAAAGTGGGTACGGAACTACTCGGTCGGGCAAACGCGTGGTGTTCAACTACACAGGGTAGGGCAGACCCGTAGCCAATGAGAGATCGGCCAGGGCGCGCCCGGGACTCGACCCCACCTTCGGTAGCCATGGAAACCTGCGGAACCCGCGAGAAACCCTCGCGGGTTTGCGATGGTGGGAGAGCCAGGTCGGTGTCAGGGTCGCCTTAGTCGGCAGTCGGTCTCTGGTCGGCCCCAAGAATAGTCGTATCGAGGCGGTAGTCGAGTATCACCTCTCTTCTTCTTCTTCTTCTCCTTCTCCTCCTCCTCCTACTACTACTACTACAGCACGGGCCGCTGCTGCTCCTGCTGCCTGACGTTGTTGCTGCCGTTGCTGCTGCCACCGCCGCCGCTGTCGCCGCCGCCGCCGCCGTTGTTGCTGCTGCTGCCCGGCGCTGCGAGCGCGCGACGGAGGGACAACACCATCACGCACACCGTCATCATCGCGCAACACGCATCCGCGAGAAGTACACGCGCACGCGAGCGAGCGGACGTACACGCGAGACCCGCGCGCAAACGCCAAGTGTCACTCTTCTGAGGACGTACACGTTATATCGATTACACGTACGCACACACGCGGATCGGAGTGAGGTTTGACGTATCTTCTGATACGGGAAACATTCAAGCGGTGCTTCGAAAGACGAACTCTTCCTCCTTCGAACTCTTCTGGGTTCATAGTCCGAACCTACTTTGTCTTCTCCCTCTTCAAACCCTCCCCCGGTGGATCGTGTGTCGTCAACTTGATGCTCCGAGAGTTGACGAGCTGGGATAGACCGAGCGGCGTGTTGGTGTGGATGTTGGTGTCTTTGACGCGAGACCTTTCGCCTCGGGAAATCGCGACGTGCGCGTGAAAAAGAGTGAAGTGCCTGCGAGTGCATGACCGAGTGTGACCGAAATTGTTACTGTTTCAATGTTGTTGTATCGTTCGCGATCGCCGTTTACGCGCGTTCACCGAAAGTTCTCGCGAGATGATATCTTGGTTGATGCCGCGTTGAGCGATAAGGAGGCTGATCGCAACTGCGAAATCTTGGCTTAAAGCATCTTCAAGGAAATCGAAAACTTGGACGTACCTTCGATCTCTGTAGTATTCACCTACCTACTTGAAGATTTAAAAACAGGAGCGATCGAGAATACTACTTGGAAGAATCATAGTCGAAGAAGTTCGATATCTTCAAGTATATCTACGTGTCTGATAATTGAATAATGTTACGTCGATCTAACCGAGTTCATCTGGAAATATGATAACTGTCGGACATCTCCCGTAGGATTTATTTCGCGATTATGCGTGTCCACCTGCAGACATGTCCAGGACAGGAACAAGCGAATGAAGAGACGTAACTTACACCAAACGACGACATCCGAAATAATCAATCCGAAATCAATTATCGAGGACACAGACCGCGCAAGAATTTCGCATCCTACGAAGCCTAGCTAAATCCACCTTAAGGAACTCAACCGGACGATTCTGGTCGGAGAAGACCCGGACACAGCCGGTCGTCGTCGGTCGCGGGAAACCGTCAGGGTGGTTCGAGGCGGGACGGTAGGCGCGGACGCCCTGGCGACTGCCGGGGTGGTTTACCCGGCCGCGACGGCGACGTTGTTCCCTGGCCGGGTGCCAGCCGGACACCACCACCCCGAGTTCACCACCACGTTGGAGCTGGGGTTCCCGGCGCGCGGCACCACCGCCTCGATGGCGTTGGTCGCGCCGCCGCCCTCCTGGGCCTCGCGGGACCCCGGGGCCGCCCTGGGCGCAGCCGGCGGCGGCGGCGGCGGCGGACCACTTCAGGTAGGTCCGCCGCCGATGCCGCCCGCGCATCTCACGCCCTCGGCGACGCCGGAGGATATCACCTGCTTGGTGCCGGCCGGCTCGGTCCTGACCTCGAGAGACCCTCTGCCACCCAGCACAACCCCTGGCAGCCAGGCCAACAGCTCGCAGTCCGGCAGCTCGCAAACGGACAAGTCGCCGAATATCGAGTGCGTCGTCTGCGGGGACAAGAGCAGCGGCAAGCATTACGGACAATTTACCTGCGAAGGTGAGTGTCCTTCTCTTCGGAAAGTGCGGAAAATTTTGGGGGGCGAATTACTCTGCGTGTGATAATTATAATCGGTGGATGTAGTCGATGAGTATAATGAGGATAAATTGAGCGAGTTGCGGTGACATTTCACGCTTCGTGACGCGAGACGATACGCGAACGAATTTAGTTTCATACTCGTATGTGTTTAGGAGAAAGATGTATGGTGTGTGTCGGAGGACAAAAGTCAATCTATCATCACACTCGATAATACTTCATATATTTTGGAATGAAACTGATAATATTTCAGTCCGTTCATGTAAAAGGTTTCCGATTTTCTTCCGTGATTAATAATCTTCTCTATATTTCGCGATTGCACATATTCTTGCTTAAAAAAATCCCGACTTTTATCGATAATTCGAATTAACTCGTGTTCAAAGAGCACAGATTATTCATATCCTATATATTTCTACATTAAAATGGGCACAAAAACTAATCTAAAATATTAGTATAAAAAACCGCCATGAATAGGTGACAATTAAAACCGATAAATTCGCGTTTTAAATACATCCGCGATTTGACATCTCGTCGGAGAGACTCCAAGACGAGCGACACGAACGATAGCACGCGCGCTAAAACAGCTGCACTGCCGGAGGATCCATCGAAATCTCTACCGTCGAGACGTTCTCAGTCGACGTTTTTTCTTCCTTCTTCCACGTGGAAGAACGCGTGCACGCCCTTTCAGCGACTGTTCTCTTTACCGTGGGTATATATCGTATAGGGCGCGCTAAGGGTGGGTATCCCTTTACCTGTGCCACCAATTTGTCACTGCGCGAGGCAGAGCTCATCCGCATCAGAAAGCCCGACACCTACCTTAATGCACGCTTGCATTAATTTATTCAAGACATGCGTGAGAGGAAGAGCGGAAATAGAGAGAGAGAGAGAGAGAGAGAGAGAGAGAGAGAAAAAGGGAGATGCGCCCGTAACCGACGATAGAAGAACGAAGATAGGGAAAGAGAAAAAGAAAAGAGAGGAGATGGAGAGTACATCGTGGCCATCGGGCGTGGAGAGTACGAAAAAACAAAGAGTCACCATTAATAACCCAGTGGGGTGTTCCCCGGAACGCTTACACGTCTGTTACGAGCCTAATAACGATGTAATAGGGCCGAGGAAATGAAGCGGGATGAACGAGGACGGACGCCGAAAGGGAAGGGTTTATCCCATTCTGGCGCCGATGATGACGGGGTTTCGGGGTCCCGATGGAATGAGAAACAAATTGTTTTCACGGGCGGAAACAAATCCTAGCGGGTCTCGTCGAGAGCGAGCCTGCGAGTTATCGCGCGTACAAACCGTAGCGGGGCTAATTATCCATCGGCCAGATGTATCGTGGATAACTAATTAGCCGGCCGCGCCGCGTGTCGTATCGCGCCGACGAATCTCGCGATCTGTCGATATACGCAGGAGAACAGCTCCGGACGATCAGAACGTTGATTTGAATATTGCACAACTCGCCATTTTCTCTCTTTACACGATAATCGAGATAAGTTTTCTGACCCTTGCTACCAACCAAATTGCACGTGCAATCGTGATTGAAAAATGAACACAACGGTATTACGCGATATATATATAATAAAATTATATAAAATAAAATAAATTTATATATATATGCGTAATACCGTTGTGTTCATTTATATATATATATATATATATATATATATAATAAATAAATAAATTAATTTATTTATTGAAGACATATGCAGGGTAAATATGGAAACAGTCTGTTAAGAGAAACTCAGCATTTTTGATCGAGATAGGTTTGACAGATGTTTGTTATCAGTTGATGAATTCTGGCTTTCGTGATTTCGGCGCTTTCTCACGTATCTGTCCCTTTTGTATCCGCGATGGCGACCAGCTGTGATTCCTGCGTATCCGTCCGTTAAATCATTTATACGAAGGCGAAAAGATCGAAGATGTTCGAGACGAGAAGACGGTAACGAAGAGAAATGTCGCGACTCGGCTCGGACAGGCGGACGGACTCGGGTTAATCGAAATCTACAGCACCCTCGGAAATCAGGAGTTATATATCCTCCCTCTGCCTTCTCCCTCTCACTCCGACCCTCCTTCGCACGCCCTATTATCCCGAATTACGCCTTATTGATACCAGATTGCCAGCGGTAATTTATATCTCGCGGGTGATTTAGTGCACTTCGAGGGCCTTGATTAATGACACGCGGCTATCTGCGGTCTCCTCCTCCTTTTTGACCTTCTCGCACGCTTTCGACTCGCGATTGAAATCACAATGGGATGCGCGAAAATTTTAATTAGAAATTGCTTGAAAATATTAATGGGGGAACTCGAGCGATAAAATAATTACATGCATTAAAAAGGAAATTGCGCCACGTCATACTTTTAAATAATTCAACTTTTCGTAATGATTGTAAATATAACATGAAATATTAATCTTTTTCACGATCCTATGCTGTGAAAAAAAAAATTAGATTATTATCGCGATAAATTATATTAATGATCTATGGATTTTTTCCTCTTCTGTAACTTGAAAATCTTGGAGCGATTATAAGTATACGCACGCACATGTTTTTATTATATATATATATATTTTTTTTTTATATTTACTTTATTATATTAAAATAATCTAAAAAAATCACATTTTTAATTTTTATATCAATGAATTTCGTCATTCTTACAACTCATGCATCTGCTTTCTATTAAAACAAGATTTCTCGCTCTCTCGCGGTCGAAATAATTTTTCCCGGGCGTTAAAACGGTACGTTCTGCTTTCGTGACCTCCGAAGGGTACCTTACCGCCCGTCGCCGACAAGTATAGCAAGTATATACCTCATGCGAGCTCATAGCATTCTTCCATTCACCGCACATTATCCCTCTCTCGCTGCGGAGTGGTTCCGCATTTCTGCGTTTAGCATTCATCGTTCGCTAGACGTTACCGCAGGATTGAGCTTATTTGCGGTAACCGACAGCGGGGATCAAGCTATTGAGAGCTCGTTAGGTTTACTATCGTCGGTGTATTGCCCTCGACGGAGACGAGACCGTGCGTGGGATCTGGCACGTAACACGCGCGGACACGACGCGGAAATCGTGGAAGACGAGACGGACAGACAGATGGATAAATGGATTTGCTCGACGTTGAGTCCTGATCGATTCGAATAGATGAAAAAAAAAAAGTGCGCTTTATACCGGGATCGCACACACATATGCACGTACACGCAATCCTGAAATTGTCCGTAAAGTGCCTAGGAGCGTTAGAACAAAATAGCATGCAAACGAGAGCAATCTTTGCCATTTCGTAATCTATATAATCTGTATAATCTTTATAATAAGCAGATGCAGAGAGAATAATGATATATGCGCAGCAGAAACTGTGAAATCAATTGTAATCATTTCCATAAATTCTTAAACTAGTTATTTTGTAATAAAGTAAAACGCCACGATGAATTTATTTCGTACATATAGTTCTATATTTATTAAATTTATTTTGCTTTATTATGATTGACATTTTTGATCGTTGCCCGTTAAAGATCTAATTCTGCTTCTTTCTTATATTTAAGGAAGATTTAAAATATCGCTACGTATTATTATATACAATTGACTGATATAAACAAGATAAATGTATAATATATTCTTTTATGTGCATATTATAGAATTAATACCCTTCATATTCTCATAAATATCCTCGTAATATTACATTTACGACACGTGTGATTTAATGCAGATACGAACACATATCGTGATTTAAGGAGGCAAAGTAGAATACATACACACGTGTTTAGAGGCAAAAACCGTACGAAACCACATTTTCTCTCCTTTTTCCCTCACGCTATAACTATATATTAATTACTACATGGCATCTCGCATTATCGGGCAATAGCTTCATAATTTATAGAGCTATTCGGTATTTAGAAAAATCCTAAACTAACCGTTGCAGCGAGAGAGAGAGAGAGATATGGGCGATTCTGTCGGGCAATTAAAGCGTTGCTCGGCGTTGCTGTAGCAGCATGCGACTGCGATAATTGCTTCCGTGTACAATGTGTAAACCGTTTCCGGCGGCTCGCGCGCGGTTAAACCGCGCGTAATCTGTGCACGACGAATTTCACGAATTGCCCCGGCCACGTCGGCCAGATGTCGGTCGACCACCATCGCGCTCGATGTACGCGGAAATGCAGGGATCCATCTCCCGAAGGGTTTGTTCTCGCTTCTCGCTGCGCGAGTTAATTGACGGCTAGGTCTGTCGGAAGAACCGGCCGACTTCGTTCGATAAACGAGTCCTAGTGCCGGCTATTAATCTGCGCTTATAAAATAAATTGGATATATTTCTAATGGCAAAACAAATTCGGCGTTGATATAAAAATTGATTTTTCTCTGGTAATTATCAGAGAAATTATTTATTTTCTTTTTTATTATAATTAAAGCATATAGTATATCTGACGAAAACTGAGTAATGAAATAATGTAAATATAAATTTAAAGTGTCAAACAGGCAATAAGAGCCAAATCGCGGATGACAGTGCGTTATCCCAACGAAACTAAATTTTTTTCGTTAGAATTAAAAACCTGTGCACAAGGCACCAAATTTGTATTGACGTATGGAATTAAATCTCTTGTAGAGATTATTCCAATTTTAAATCTTGGCCGTGACCAAGTAAAATTTGGTGTCTTGTGCACAGGTTTTTAATTCTAACGAAAAATTTAGTTTCGCTGGGATAACGCACTGTCATCCGCGATTTGGCTCTTATTGCCTGTTTGACACTTTAAATTTATATTACAGAGCCTTGTTAAACTCTTAATGAAATAATGATTTAGCGAGAAAGATGAATTCTTCAACATCTCGCGCTGATTTTTCAGTATTCATCCCACATTATTTTATAACGCTGCGAAATAAACGCACTTGCCTGACTCTCTCGTATCCACGTTGAATTGTCCCCGAGAGTGTTACTGCCGTCGGTCGCGTGGCGGAAACTGTCGCCAAGATACGACCAGATATCCTAA